GTCAAGAAGATGAAATCCAGGGTCTCCTTCATCCAGCTCAAGGCAATCTTGAAGTTCTCTTGCATAGTTTCAGTTTTTATGGCTGCCTTCTACACAGTCTGAAAGTCCTCTTGCTCATAAATTCTATGTGTCTTTTAATGTATGTACTAAACTGTGAACAGAATTTTTCATGCTTCATGTTTCTACCCGGACTAATTGTAACTGGATTAGCAAGTGTTTACTGTATTTGAGTACTATGTAAAATAGAACTGATTGTCTATACTTTTAAGGCTTAAAGGCCTGCATGAAATTTGCTTTCACTCAAAATACATTTTCTAGACAAAATTTGTTCAGTGCAGGCCTATGTATTTTGTTACCAGTAACCAGAATGTTATATGAGTATAATGGGGAATTTGTGTTGAATTATTTTGTTAGTATGTTATCAAGTAGAACTGAATAAGTTGAACTGGGGTAGTTGTTCATTATTTGATTTTAAAAGTAATCAAAGAAACACACTTAAGATTTTGTTCTGTAATCAGTGGACAGAAATGCTACATGCGATGGCTGTTGAACAATGATGTATTGAATGGAACAATTCCGTGAGTCTACAGGAGTGGTCTAGTATGTCTTTCTTTGGCATCCATTAAATACCTTAGCATAAAATTCGTTGGAGAAATAAGAAATCATCTGCTGGTATTCCATACCAGAATTTCATTACTGACTGTTACTGTAGTTGTATTGTTTTTCCATTATGGTTTGACAGTGGAATGCAGGCACATTGCTGATCAAACTGGATGAATCCATGGTTGGCTAGAAACTTCAGGGTAAACAGTAGAGCTAGTCACCATGCCTTTTGCAGTTTAAATTATATGTGATAACACAGTTTAGCTTGAGAGGTGCATTGCAGACCATCATGACCTTCCTCCCTCCCCTCTTATCCATCTTTTGAAGATATGATATTGTCTTACATGGACTCACTATTCCTTTTTGGATATTTTCACATGGGGCCTAAATCAACTGCTTTAACTATGGCAAAAAATTCTCAGACATCTGCTAAATGAAGACAGACCCTTATTTTTTTATGTACAACAACACACAGAACAACATGTGCATGATATGTACTAGTGGGCAAACACCCTGCTGATAAATATGGCATGAGTGTGTGTAACAATGTGATCATTTTCTGATGTGCTGTATTTCAAGTCTCATTATCCATTTCCATTGAATGAGGTAGCTTTGGAAAGACTGTTCGTTGTCCAGACCTAATATTTAATTTTGGTATATCAACCATGCAATTTAGGCAGATTTAGTGAAGCAAGTGATTGGATTAGAGGCTTCCATAATTTTCATGTTCTTGGAATGGACTGTGATGATAACATATGATGAGAAATTGTGGAAATTATCTTCACTAGGGAGGAATGTGCCAATATGCATGCTTCAGGACTGTTCATATTATTGGAGGTAAAGGTGACCTGAGATATCAGATTCTTCATTTACTTGTATGTATTGATGGGTGTGAAATGTCTTCTGATGAAAGAATGATTTACCTGTTGGAGAGTTGTGGCATGTAATCGTACATAATTACTGAACTTCAACATGAAATTTTATAAATTGAAATGGTAGAATAACTCAATTATGACATTTTATCAGAAGCAGATATAATTGATTGATTTTATTATTAAAGGAAGGCTTAAGTCACATCATATTCTCATTGACACATGTTCATCCTCTTGTATGTGTAGTTCATGGGCTCATGTGTGTAACCTTTTTTTACTTTTTAAGGACATATGTTGACACTTTAATGTGACCGAACCATACAATTTGGAAAATTTTATTTTTGCAAAACTTACTGAGAAATATTAACTGCTGATGTTTGTCAGATTTCCTTGCTGCTGTTCCTAGCTCTCAGAGGACATACATTCTGAATACAAGTTTCCTTTTTTGTATTGAACAAAACGTTTTTAACGGCCTCTGAGAGAGCAACTGCTTTCATTATTTCTCTTTGAGATTGTATAGATGGATAGAAAGATGGGTGAACCACAGAGCCGGTCTGGACTCTGTGGAGTACAGAGAACTCTCTTCCCCATGCCGCCTAGCCCCTAGCCCATCATTATACCAACTGAGCTATCTCAACTCTATAGGCATAGTTAGAGACCTACTTTATCTTCAAAAGGGAGATTGTTGTAAAACAGTATGTATGGTCCAGGTCATGTGGGCATCTAGAAAGAGACTGAAGGACATGTAATGAATATGTTTTTAGAAAAAATACAATTCCAGGAAGAGGGTTTACATTTTCTTATTTTTAATGCATTGAGCACTAAAGTTTGTCAGCCACTCCAGGAAGTACTTTAGCCCACGTGGTTTGCAAGGCTCATTCTCTCTTCAATTGAAATTACTGTATGCTTATACCCTACATGCTGAAAAATGTTTGAGAGTCAATTTTGTAACTATGGATGACTTTCTAAGTCATTTCCAAAACTTAATAGGCTTATGAAGAGAAATATGCAGAACCCAGATTCTGTTGGACATATCTTCAGAAGATGGAGAAGAGAAAATACTGACCCATTTCTCATATTTAAGAGCAGAAAGAGTGACTGCTGTTAAGTTGCATCTAAGACTATAAAACTTACTGATTTTATAATTCATTAAGGTCTAACTGCATTAAACATATGGTCAAGTAGGTAGCACTACTATAGAGGTTAGCTGTGAATATATTTAATAAGCAGTCCCGGATAGCCTACAAGGGGTGGTCCTCAAGCTTGGGGGGTTTGGCGTGGGGCTAACAACTCCTCACCGTAAAAAATAAGCTTGTTACGAAAATTTGCAAGAAGCCCAGGACTTTGACAGATTCCTGGGATAAACGACCTAAGCGAAAGAAAATGGATACGAGATTTGGTACTTGGAATGTTAGAAGTACGTACAGGGCAAGTTTGCCCAGGGCAGTGGCAGAAAAATCCCAAAATATAAGTTAGATTTAGCAGGAGTACAGGAGGCCAGATGGGATGGAGGTGGCAATGCACCAGCAAGCAAATGTACATTTTTCTATGGAAAGGGGAGTGAGAATCACGAATTAGGTACAGGTTCTTCTGTACATAAGAGAATTCTGTCATCAGTTAAGAGGGCAGAGTTTGTTAGTGATAGGGTGTCATACATAATACTAAGAGGTCGCTGGTGTGATATCATTGTTCTGAATATTCATTTCCCAACAGAGGACAAAATTGATGATATGAAGGGCAGGTTCTACGAAGAACTAGAACATGTATTCGATAAATTCCCTAAATACCACATGAAAATTTTGTTAGGAGATTTCAATACCAAAGTAGGTAGGGAAGACATTTTCAAACCAACAATTGTGAATGAGAGTTTACACGAAATTAGTAATGATGATGGAGCTAGAGTAGTAAATTGTGTTACATCCCAAAAGTGGGCGTGCAATATTAAAATGAATCTTAGAGAGATAGGATGAGATGGTATGGATTGTATTGATCTAGCTCAGGATAGGGACCAGTGGAGGGGTCTTGTGAACACGGTATTAAACTTTCTGGTTCCATAAAATGCTGGGAAATTCTTGAGTTTCTGCACAATTGGCAGCTTCTCAAGTAGGGCTCAGCTCCATGAGTGAGTGAGTGAGTGAGTGAGTGAGTGAGTGAGGTAGCACTACTGCTTCGTATTCATGGGGACTTGGGCTCAGATTTTAGACTAAAGACCAACTTTCATGGCTACTTCTTTCGTGCTTTTCCTCTGTATAGTCAATTATATATTTTTTTAGTTCTTAAATATATGTAGTGAATGTCAGTTTGCAGTTGTAGGGAGTCAATTTTAAAATTGATTTTGTTACAAATCTGGGTCATCACACTGGCAACTTTTTACTTTATATTTGTGTTTTTCCTATGAGCAGGCCTGCAAACCAGAGATGATGGTGTGTGAAATATGGAGAAATTTGGTGGTGGAGAGGGCTCAATTCAACCTAAACCTAATTGGACTCTTACTTTCTTACTTAGGTCTAAGAGGATGATATTAACAGAGACAGCCTTCCATTTACACTGTATTCCAATGACATCTGTGATATAATATATTAGCCAGAGAATACTGGTTAAAAAGCTTGGCAAAGATTGATCAATAGAATGTCTCATTGCAACGTTATAAGTGTCTTTATTTAATAGGCCTGTCATGAATGGCATGAAATTTTTGTTCTGTTTTGTGTTGCATCATGCACTGAGATGGGAGAGCAAATTCAGTATACTCATAGCGACAGACTATGGGCTGGCTGGCCGGAGTTGATCTTGGGCTCAGACGAGATTTCTCTCTTCTCCACAGTAGCCAGACTGGATCTGGGAACCTGTCCAGCCTCCTGTCCAACTGATACCTGGGGCTTCTTCTCCGGGAATGAAGTGAGAGGCACATGAAGCTGAACATTTACCACCATCAAATGCTGAGTTCAAAAATGGCTAACCTATATATCCACTCCCCCATACGTCTTAATAGCATGGTCCTTAATTAAACACGAGGACGTTCATACCTACCTTTACCTTATCATCAATTACTGTCAAAGAAGGTCTAGACTTTTCTTTCTGCAGTAAAATATCTATTGGTACCATGGATGTCGGTCCAACAAATCTTTATGTACTGTGAAAAAGAGTGCCTGAAGATATATAGTGAAAGACAGGAAGGAAATACCACGGGGTTGTAATCTGTTCGCTCACAGGATCACAGCACATCTTGTATAGATGTGTTGATGCACACCTTTTCTCAAAAACAAATATTCCACGTTCCTGTGCTTAGTATGGTTATTCTCTGCGGCCAGAAGAGCAAGGCTTGGGAAATTTAACTATTAAGGTCGCGGGTTCGATTCCTAGTAAGGTCACTGGATTGTTCATTTGGCCTGATCTTTCCAACCGCGCTATGCTCCTGGGGTCGACTCAACCTCTCACAGAAATTAGTACCAGGAATCTTCCTGGGGGTAAAGGGCGGCCGGCGCGTAAGGCTGACAACCTCACCGCCATCTGTGAACCGATTGTTTAGCAAATCTGGAAGCCTGGACGTCTCACAACCATATAGGCTTCCACGGCCTGTTACAGGGATAGCTGTTATGTTTCTGTTCTTGTGGGGTCAAACTGAGCCCCTTGGTGCTGAGGCCACAAATTTGGCTAGAAGGGTGGCTATAGTAGCGTTTCAAAATACATTGGAAAAAAGCATTAAGAGATTTTACCATTTGCTTCGGCGGAGAAAGAAATTCAGAGCCCGTTTTGAAAAGTCTATACGCCCAGTATGAAGACGTAGAACACCTTAAAGTGGTCATACTTGAGTATTACAGTGTTTCTAGTCCACTGCGCTGACTGAGGCCTGAGGTTAGGTAGATTAGATCTTGTTTTACATAGCCGAGGAACACGCCTCGCACAGCCACGTTTCAGTTCGGGGCGGGGTTTGGATACGGGTACCTCGCCACCCCTGCCGGGTGGTGCATGCTGTTAGCAGCCGCAGAGTAAATAGACGAGAGGCTAGCAGCAGAGGCAGCATTTGCCGCCGCTGAAGTCCAGCAGTAGGGTGGTGCAGGAAATGGTGAAGTGGGTGGTACGACACCAGGTGGTGGTGGAGGCAGTATAGACGATAGTTTTCCTGGTGAGTGGTGATGTGCGGGGTACAGTGCTGCTCCCAGGTCGCTCTGATGGTGATGGTACTTGGTATAACTCATCGCAGTGTCAGCCCCACTACTGCCCTGTGCTTGGGCCTGACACGCAGCCATTAGTCCGTGGAAGTCAAACTTGTAAGCGTACCGTTTCCCGTGGACTTTGGTCATAATGTTTTTGTCGTAATAATACCTGTGAACAGAAGGTGTATGTGATTTTAATTACGTTGACATTTTGACGTTCCAGCTAAATGAATCAATTTGAAATCAGTTGCTTCTAAAGGGTTCTGATGATGGTGTATATCACACATAATTACTCAGTTTCTGGACTTCTTTTTCCGTCATCCGGTATTCTAGAAAACAGAAAACGCGACGTTTCGGAAACTGGATCTATTTCCATCCTCAGGTGATGGGGGGGGGCTGAGTAGGTGTCTTCCCCCCGTCACCTGAGGACGGAAACAGATCCAGTTTCCGAAACGTCGCGTTTTCTATTTTCTAGAATACCGAACGATGGGAAAAATCCAAAAACCAAAGAATTCTGTTTGAAATCAGTTTTCTGACCAGAGCTCACAAAGTTTCGGGTTTTGGTTATTTGACCATTTATATTGCATAGGTTTGTGATTTAATTTTATACACCTCCGAGAAATTCCTCCACAGTGCAGCCTATTAAAATAGAAATTATCTCAGTTCTTTACAGTTTATCATGGATAACTATTCCAGTGGCAATAGCCGTTAACACACACACTCGTAGTTACGGGTATCAATGTGTTACTGTAGTTAAACTAATGGTAGAGCAAACAAGGTAAGATTTGAGGTTTTCACAACGGTATTTGGGAAGAATTCTCTCTTCTGGATTATAACACTATGTAATCCGTCGAAAATCAACCGACGTTCGAAGAAATATGTCACCTCTCTCTTCAAGGGACATAGTCCCACCCCACTAACAATAATAATAATGAAAAAATAAAAATTCGCCGACACGTGGCGGTTGCTCGGTCTGTGTAGTTCGCTTGCGGACTAAAAGCACGGAGTTTTTTTTTTTTTTTTTAATTGCTTCATGAGGAAAAGTATTTTGCACTGTTCAGGAGCTACAGGCATGGAATGTTCTCGTGTAGGCTATGTCCTACTGAATTTGGACCCCTCAGAAAGAAGTTAATCTAAGCACTTTTTGTGATTATGATTTCATCTTTTATACAAGGCATGCCACTAAGGGCCTATTAGCAATTTTTAGTTTAAGTAATATTTTCTTGTCGGTGCCTAAAATTGTACAATAAAATTCCAGTAGCACTATTTATTTTTTAAACGCCCTAAAAAAGTAATCTGTATGTTTTATAACAGGCGGTCTGTGCTTTCTGAGTATCAAGTAAAGACGTGTAGGCCCTTCATGTGAATTAAGCTTATATGCTTATAAGCATATAAGCTTGGATTATGCCAAATTAATTTGATACATTATTTAAATTTAGGCAATTCACGTTAATTTCAAATAGACCTAATATATAAAATTACAGGTATGCCTATTATGAAGTCAGGTGATCTGGTAGGCGTACTCTGCCAATAAGAAACTTAGTTAAAGCTAAGCTCCATGACTTCGCAAAAGCCGGTAAGAAACCACTGGCCTAGAAACACGACGGACTACTACTGGAAACACGGACTACTATAGCTGATCTTGTTTATGTCATTCTGTCTTTTTCATATCAGTCTGAAAGCAGAGTTCGCGGTAGAATTGAATACCGTCGAATTTATTTACATTACATTACTAAGCAAAGGATATAAAGCAGCGCCATAGTCGATGGCTTCCCACCGCGGCGGCCCTGGTTCGATCCCGGTGTCTGGTCAAGTGGGATTTGTGGTGGACAAAGTGGCGCTGGAGCAGGTTTTCTCCAAGTACTTCAGTTTCCCCTGCCAATCTTCATTCCACCAGTTGCTTCACAATCACCCTCACCTATCATCTGGGGCTGGTACAACAGGCCAGAAGTGGCCCCAGTACAAGGGACTTAGTCCCACCCCACTAGCAATAAAAAAAAACAAAGGATGTATAGAACATGCCATAGCACGAATGGAGTAGGCCCATTTGAAGCCAGTACAGACATCCGCACACAGTTGTCACAGACATGGACGTATTGGACTGAGTCCACTTGGTATTTCGGCCACTACTGGCCTATTGTACCAGCCCCTGATGATAGATGGCGGTGATTGTGGAGGAATCGGTGGAATGTGAATTGATAGGGGAAATCGAAGTACTCGGAGAAAACCTGCCACTTTGTCCATCACAAATCTCACATGACCTGACCCGCGCTCGAACCCGGGCAGCCATAGTGGGAAGCCGGCGACTAACCGCATGAGCTATGGCGCGGTCGACGTAACCATTAGGGTCTGTACTAAAGAGAGACATCGCTACCCTTCAGCTTGGGGCCTCAATATAACGGTGCAAGAATATTCAATACACATCCCTGTGTGTTAGCATAGCTGGGCGTCGCGATAGAGTCCTGTACTTTTTCAAGGGATTGAAATAGCTTACAGCAATGGTACATCATTCATTTATCCGCGCCTATAATGTAAGCACAAAGACTACCCAATGGTAGCCTGTCTCAATGGTTACAGCTCAAGATAGACTGCAGACTTGTTGTAATGGGCCGCGTCTAGTGGGAGGTGCTGGGAATACCGAACTCGCAGATGGGCAAGTCACATTTCGCTTTCTCTACTGTAGCAGTTTCTGTTCGGCCAGAGCTTTGTTCCAAGTCCTCAAGACCAGTTGCTTTCAGTCGTTGCTGCTTCACGGTTCAGTGGGTTTTCCCAGCACCGACATACTGTCTCACATTGTAGGCACAATACAAATAAAATGTATAGAAACAATATAGGCATAAGCCTACTTACTTGCTTACTTATGGAGCTGAGCTCTTCTTGAAGAAAAGCCAAATCTACAGCTACTAAAGAATTTCCCAGCATTTTATAGAATCCGAAGATTTATTACCATGTTCACAAGAGCCCTGCACTGGTTCATATCCTGAGCTAGATCAATCCAATCCTATCTCTTTAAGATCCATTCTAATATCGTCCACCCACCTACACCTTGGTCTTCCCAGTGGTCTCTTTCCTTCTGGCTCTCCCACCAATATCCTATATGTATTCCGCTTCTCCCTCATTCGTGCTACATGCCCTGCTCACCTCATCCTCCTTGACTTGATCATTCTTATTATACTTGGGGAATGTATAATTTATGAAGATCCTCATTATGCAGCCTACTTACAATATAAAACAAGCTGGGAAGAACTTATCGCCTGCTTCCGTTTGATACACAGACAGAATGACAAACACAATCGGATACACACACAGCCAGGCAGTAAGGTAATATTATAAGCCTCATCTTATTGTTTCAAAATTAAGGAAGTTGGCTAACTAGCTACTAAAAGGAAACAGGGTACAAATATAATTTTTCATCTGTGGTTAAATGCAAAATCCTTACAATGTAACGCTAATCAGGCCTATAATTTTTGTAATTGCCATAAAAATATATGGTCACCAGACCATCAATTGAGAAGCACTGTCCTAACCAACCCGCCTGTCTGCGGTTCCTCTTCGCATTTTGATGGGAACTCCCAATTGGGTAAAACCTGGGTTACGCTTCATTTTCTCCATTAGGCTGTCGTAGACTCACTGATAAGGGCCAACTCCATGAAAGGGAGTGGGGAGCTGATATGTTCTCATTTAGTCAAGGAACTGTCTACCCGAAGGTCCATTGCCGTGCTCACGTGACCCTTCCACTCTACCCTATCTTCAACCACTTGAATTTAGTTCACATCCTTACACCATTTTGTTTTAAGAGCCATTTCGTATGATCCTCCCATCTATTATTAGGTCTGAAAAGTACTCTTACTCTTCTCACTTCGGATTTTCCGATTAATATATTGTAGACTTACGCAGTTCTCGTGTCTGCGTTAACCACCCCTTTAATTCTCCTTGATCTGATCATCGTAATAATAAACTACTTAGGCAGGAAGTTGGAACTCTCGAAAGAGAGAGTACAACTACAGGGAATGGCCACCCTGCCTTATGCGAGCTCCAGACTAGACTATTTTGTGAAGAGAAGGCTTAGGCTACGACTGTCCTAGGTCTAGAGTCTTTTATTGATATCTTTTTGGTCGCTTTGCAATCTTAATGGAGCTACCTAATTAAACTAAACTAACATCATGGCTCAAGGCTGCGCCATAGCTCAAGCGGTTAGTCGCTGGCTTCTCACCGCGGCGGCCCGGGTTCGATCCAGGGTCTGGTCAAGTGGGATTTGTTGTGGTCAAAGTGGCGCTGGGGCAGGTTTTCTCCGAGTACTTCTGCTTCCCCTGCCAATCTTCATTCCACTAATTGCGCCACAATCACCCTCACCTATCATCTGGGGCTGGTACAATAGGCCAGAAGTGGCCGCAGTACAAGGGACTTAGTCCCACCCAACTAGGAATAAAAAAAACGCCCTGGCTTTAGTCCGCAAGTGAACTATACCGACCGAGCGACCGCTGCTTGTCGGCGAAATTTGTACCAACTTTACGGATAGAGGGTGTCGCGTTGTCAGCGCAACGGATCCCTACGGCCGTTAATCTCGGGTTTCTAGATTCGTAAATTTGGGTAAATCCTACTGTCCCTTTGGAACCTCAAGACACACGAAAACTGACCACACTGTGTGCCTCATCGGACTTCGCCGTCATGTTGGTATCCCTTCTGCTTCGTAATCTGAGGGTCCAGAGTTCAAGTCTCGGTTCGGAGAACGGATATGCTGATTGAGATATTTTTGTAGCTTCTCATTCCCTGTAGGGAAAATCGCGGAACAATATAGGCCACGACCGCTTCCTTCCTTATCCATCCCGATTCATTAATCACAATATTTTCGTTATTTGTTGGCAGCGTCGTTAAATAAATTCATAAATAATAAACTCCGTGTCCATCTTGTTTCTTACCTGAGCGCCCTGCTGAGCTTGTCGTAATTCATATTAGGTTTGGACTTTCTCTCCCCCCACCTCCGCGCTACCTCGTCAGGATCCGTCAGTTTAAATTCTCCATTGGTTCCTTCCCATGTGATGCAACTCGCATTCGACGAATCGCTGAGTAGTTCCAGCAGAAACTGCCACAATTGGATCTGGCCTGAACCCTGGGCAACCAATCGGCTGCTAGCAGCATTTAGTAGTTGGTAGGGATCTGAACAGACAATGAGGGATGGTACATCAGACAAAGGGAATATTTGCTACTACCTGTTGCAGAAATATCAGCATTTTGTTCAGAAGTTGCGATTGTATTTTCATACTTGACAAGTATTTGAACTAGAGTACCGACAATTTATATCTGTAGTCATGTGTATGCTATGAATGAGAAAGAATGGGAAGATTTAAAATTATAATTAATTTTTAACTAGTAAATTTTAAATTTGCATATGAACTATAGCTGGCATTGTTACTGTAACTAACGAATATGACCTTCCTCCTAAAATGTAAACATCGGCCAATGTAGGAGGAAAAAGTAGAGTGTCAATTTAAAAAGATTTACTTGATGATGGTCATAATTGGTCAAAACATATTGTAAAGTAAAAAACCAGTGTAAATATGTTACATTTATACAGGAATCGTGTTGACAGAACCTGAAATAAATTAGAAGAAATTAAATGAAAGTGACCAGTTTCGAATTACCAGCATTTTGAAGTAGGTGGTAAGCTGTGACGGTTATTTCTGGGTTTCTTGAAAATGTACACGAAGATATTCTTGGCCCAATAAAATTTTCCTTTTTCACCGGGAAGACTAATTTTGCTCTATTTGAGGTTTGAATTTGTAATCACTCTTTGAATTATACGACGAAAAATTTATGCTCTTATCCTAATCACACTATTTGACCTTGTACGTAATTCGTGACTAATTAAAAATAAATATGCCTCTAGATGGACACCGTCCTTTTGCACGTAGGCCTACATATGGTCTAACAATATTTCTATAAATAAAATTTGTTTCCATGTTTTTCGATAAAACATTATGTGTATTTTGGCCTACAATTTAAATGTTATCAGTGTAAAACGTACTAATTGTCTGTTTAACCGTTACAACACAAGTCTCAGAATCTCGTTCACATTAACTGTGTATAACGGGCATACTGATTTCAGTTGTATCTTGCTACATGTTTCGGCTTATGAAAAGCTATCATCAGGCAGATATACAATAATAACTTATCCTTAAACTATTGAATTTCATTCTATACGGATATACATAGGTCACAATATTAGAGTTATTACTAATGCATCAGACTTTCAGCATTTCGTCAAAATTAAAACCACTACTGCTCTTATATCGGCCGGGACGTGAAGCGGACCACTCACCTCCAGCTAGTGCCGAGGTCAAGAGAACGTGGATATATACATCCACTCCCCCATACGCTTTCATGGCGTAGTGCTTAATTTGTTGAACACAGGGACAACTGTACCTTTACTGCTCTTATATAGCCATTCAACTAAGATAAATACTTTATATTAATTAACGTTTTCACATGTTCATACAAACGTATAAAACATAAATAATAGAAGTAAAAAAGTAAAGCTATCCCTGTAACAGGCCCTGAAGGCCCATAGGGTTGTGAGACGTTGAGGCTCCCACATTATCTAGATAATCGGCTCAAAGATGGCGGTAAGGTTGTCAGCCCTACGCGCCGTCCGCGCTTTATTCCCCAAGAAAATTATTTAAATAATTCGTGGTACTCATTTCTGTTAGAGGCTGAGTCAACCCCACGGCCTCGTGCGGCTGGAAGGATTAGGTCAATTGAAAAAATCTAATGACCTCATCGGGACTTGAACCCGCAACCTTCCGGCTTGTAGCATAGCCCCTCAACCAACTACGCTACCGTGTAATAAATTACAAAGATTTAAAATTATAAAATACCCCTAGACGCTGAGTTAAGATATTATTGCGTCATGTTTAGACGCCTCATGTATTGTTTGTCGTTGCAATCATGATGTTATATTACGTGGTAATTTACGGACGTTGTGTAAAATGTACCATTTTCCCGCAGATCCAGTCCGCTTTAATGCTAACTGAATACAAGTAGGAAGTACGTAAGCGTAGGCAGACTTATCCAGTTCGAAATGCAGTCAGAATCATAACATAAGGAAATTACTGAATTACGCTTTCACGGTGATTAATGCTTCTTCTACGGCCGCTAGTCCCAGACATCTCAACGGTCCAACTTTGATTACTTTCCCAATATCTGGTTCATTAAATAATTATTCATGTTAATTATAATCTTAGGTTGTTACACCGTGTGGCTATGGGCGATGTTACCGATGTTTCGGAGGTACATTTTGCCTTCATCTTTAGAGTCGACCTGAGGAGGCAGGATGTACCTCCAAAATTTTAGCGCCCTAGCACAAAACCGCTTAGTGTAACAACCCAAGAACAGAATTAACATCGATCTTAAGAAGATCTTAAGAAGCTTTCTTCTCTACCTACAAGGGAATGCCTAAGCCTAATTCGAATTAGTATGGCCCAGAAGCGTATGTGATTTTGGCCTGTAATTTTTGTCTTAAGTCAGTTAAAGCTTCGTTTCAACACGTAAGTAACTTCATGGTGAAAGGTTAAATTTTTGAGCAGTTGATAGTCGCTATAATGTAAATCTATCCCTGTAACATGTCGTGAAGGCCCGTAGGGTTGTGAGACGTCGAGGTTCCCACATTTTCTCTAGACAATCGGCCCACAGATGGCGGTGAGTTTGTCAGCCTTACGAACCGGCCACCCTTTACCCCCCAGGAAGATTCCTGTTACTCATTTCTGTTAGGGGCTGGGTCGACCCCAGGGCCATAGTGCTGTGTAAAAATTGACTGTTGCGATATCCAAACAAGTGACAAACGTTGAGAACTACTGGTCTAGACTGAATAGAGAAGTCTGTCATTATCTTCTAAGGAAGATTATGGCTCAGAAAGTGTTGTTTTGCAGATGATGATGATATAAAGTAATAAGCTCTAATTTAAATGTGACTTATATAGCGGCTATGTGCACGTACAGGCCTATTACACTAATTTGACATTAATTTGTCCTATAAAACATCTCTTCCACTGGGTAAATATAGGCAGAAGCCTTTATTTTCCACCAATGATGAGCCTTTACTTGGGCCCAACCCGACTGGGCACTTACCGTAATTTCTATTTGAAAAAAATCGCAGCAAGACTTGGCCCTGAGAGTATCCTCAATGCTAAAACACGACAGATCATTGAAGGTCGCAGTGCGGGTGCCGGTTTTTATGTCTCTAGGAGACCTCTGAGCAAAATTAGGCAACAAGTTTCCCGGCCAAGTAGTTTCCAATGCCTCTGGTAGATGGGGGAAATATCAGGTACCGAGGGCCGACCTCGTTGGCTGAACGGGGCTGATAGCACGCACCAGTACCGGTAGGGTATGACGACAGTAGAAATTAAAGGGGGACGCACAATGGACCAATGACTGGTCTAAGTGCATGGGGAAACCCACCCGCTCTAATAATAATAATACATACATACATCTTGAATGCTTTGTTTAGATATCTTGACGGAAGAAATGAAAACAGAAGAGGGTACTGGAAATCAACTTATTTACTTTTATAGCATAGGTTAGTTAGAATGGATAATTTTTTTTTTTTAAGTTTCTTGGATTGAGGTGAGACTCAGTGCACTTGGTACTGCGGCCACTGTTTGGCCTGTTGTTCCAGACCCAGATGATAGATGATGGTGATTGTGAAGCAGTATGTGGAATGAGATACCCTAATACCACTTTACCCACCAAAAATCCCACATGACCTGACCTGGGATCGAATCCGGGCCGGCGACTGTTCGCCTGAGCTATGGCACTGCCCTGTAATGTGTACAGTCATTCATCACTATTTCTTGGCTGTAAAAAGTGGTCACTAGAAAGAACCTTGTGTGATCATGTAGCACAACTTACTTAAACGAATAGAATCATATTTGGGGGGACAGTACAGCCAGCCTTCTCGTGGTGTCTCCTGGGTAACGCTAATAGGCTGTAGAGTTTCCGAAAAGTCTAATCGAGACAGCAGTCTCGTTTTGGAGCGCTCAATTTTTCTTTTTGACATAATTTCTAATATTGTGGGGGGGGGCGCTATAACGTAGTAGGTTCAGGTACTGTGCTACAAGCCAGACGGTGGCGGGTTCGATTCCCGATTAAGTCATTGGACATTTTAACTGACCTAATCCTTCCATCCGCACTATGGACCTGGGGTCGACTCAGCCTCTAACAGAAATGATTACCAGGAATCTTCCTGAGAGTAAAGGGCGGCCGGCGGCTAAGGCTGATAACCTCACCTTGATTGTCTAGAAAATGTGTAAGCCTCGACGTCTCATAAACCTATGGAACCCCACGACCTGTTGAAGGGATAGTTTTACCTCTTTTTTTTTTCTGACATTGTGTGGCGTCCAGTGGTGGTGTTATGGTGCCAAATTGCATTTTACTGTTCCACTCTTCTCACGGGACTACAAACAAACCAGATTACTGTGCGTTTACGTATACCTAATATCTTATGATATGTCTGGAACCAGACTCAGATGGGCAGAACTGCATGAGGGAACTGATATCCAGAACTAGATTGCGTCTGTAAGGTCTAAACAAATATTGTTACAGGATTCAGGTTATCTCAGCGGTGGTTATGAAGAGTTCTATCTTCTGGGATATAGCGGAGTGTAATCCTTTGAATGTCAAATTACATTTCGGAGGAACATGTCGCCTCCATCTTCAGTGTCGAAGAATATACAAAGCAAGAGCCCAGCGTCAAGGAGGTAGCAAGCAAAATTAAATTATGTAAGATTTGAGGCTTTCACGGCGGTGACTATGAAGAAAGCAGTCTTCTGGGATTTTTGTACCGTGCATATGTGGTGTTAACTGACATTTCGGAGGAACATGTCGCCTCCATCTTCAGCGTCGAAGAATAAACAAAGCAAGAGCCCAGCGTCAAGGAGGTAGCAAGCAAAATTAAATTATGTAAGATTTGAGGNTTAAATTACTTTTCCCTGTCAATAAACTACGTAATACGCCTAAGCCTGTGGGTCTACTGAAGAACTCGTTGAACTTTGTTGCATTTGAAGACTGAGGCGTACTTCTGGGACGTAAAGCGATGTAGTGCGGTACATAGGCACCAGCATTTAGGAGAAAAATGCTGCCTCCGTTTTTGGAGTAGAAGTTTGC